CGTTTCATACGTTGCTGCATCTACTGAGAGACTGAAGGCAATGCTGAGGATCCAGACCACTAACCCCCTGAAGGGGCGGGTGTCACTGAAAAGACGTGAACATTTACAGCGAAGCCCCAGAAGAATTCTGCGGGGCAGCTTGGCCCCATAAGGGGGAAAGTAGGAGGAGGAGCTCTCTGAACAAATGAAGGAACTGGCTGGTGTTCAGTCTTTAGTCACTTACTGCCCGCAATCCGTGCTCCACAGACCTCTGTTTACCAGAGGCCAGAGTCTGAGTGTGCTTACTTTCCCCATCACTGATTCAGGGGAGTGAGTCATTTGTTGAAATATGGAATCTTGGGGCGCCAGGGTGGCTCAGTCGGTTGAGCGTCCAACTCTTGATTTCAGCTCAGGTCATGATCTCACGGTTCACGGATGGAGCCCCACATCGGGTTCTGCACGGACATGCAGAGCCTGCTTGGGATTCTCTCTCTCTCTCTCTCTCTCTCTCTTTCTCTCTCTGACCTTCCCCCACTCATGCTGTTGCGTGTTCTCTCTCAAAATAAATAAACATGAAAAAAGAAAGATTCTCTCTCTCTCTCCCCCCTCCCTCACTTCTCTCTCTCTCTCCCTCACTTGTGCGTGTGCGCTCTCTCTCTCTCTCTCAAGTTAAAAAAAAAGAAATCGCTTAGAAGAAAAATACATCCACAGAGAATGCATGAGATCAGGTGTTTCTTCTTCTGTATCTAAAGTCTAAAAGGATGAGTTGATTTTTGAAGGAAATGACACTATATTTGCATCAAATCAGCTGCTTTGATTCAGCAGCCATGGCAATGCTTTTAATTTTTAATTTTTTTAATATTTTACTTATTTTTGACAGAGAGAAAGACAGACTACGGGCAGGGGACGGGCAGAGAGGGAGCCACAGAATCCCAAGCAGGCTCCAGGCTCCGAGCTGTCAGCTCCGAGCCTGACGCGGGGTTCGAACTCATGAACCGCGAGATCATCACCTGAGCCGAAGTGGACACTTAACCGACTGAGCCACCAGGCGCCCCAAAGCCATGACAATTTAAAACAAGAATATCACAAACTGGGGCGCCTGGGTGGCTCAGTCGGTTAAGCGGCCGGCCCAGGTCATGATCTCGCGGTCCGTAAGTTCGAGCCCCGCGTCGGGCTCTGTGCTGACAGCTCAGAGCCTGGAGCCTGTTTCAGATTCTGTGTCTCCCTCTCTCTGACCCTCCCCCGTTCATGCTTTGTCTCTCTCTGTCTCAAAAATAAATAAACGTTAAAAAAAAATTAAAAAAAAATATCACAAACTTTTCAGACAGTATCCATATCTCTGTAAAAGAATGGTTCAGCAGGCTTATGAATCATATCTAAGAATGCTCCAGCTACCAAACCAGCAAGACTCTAAATGACATCTAAGACCAATCTGTAATTTTTTTTAAATGTTTTCATTCCGCATATCAGCGATAAGTGATCAGAAAATGCACTTTTAAAAAGATGGCATTTATAACAATAACAAAACTAGTATTAAGGAAGAAAACTGACAAAAGGTTCGCAAGATGTGTTGAAGGATTTCTACATCTTTCTTGGGGAAAAAAACCTTAAACTAATAGATAACCTGTTTTTGCGGACAAGGAGACTTGAGTTTATAAAGAAGTATATTCTTCCCAAGTTGATCTACAGATGCAATGTCATTCCAGCCAAAACACTAACAGGAGTGTTTTTTGGAACTTGATAAACCGATTCTAATATGTAATAGAACAGCAAACGTCCAGGTATAGCCAAGACACTATTTTAAAGAAGATTAAGGAGAGGATCCTGCTCTATCAGACAGCAGGACTTAGTTTTGGGTCTGTAGATTCTATTGCCTCTATAGACAGTTCTGACTCAGGGACAGTAAAATCGACCACTGGAACAGAATAGAAGGCCACAGACAGAGGCCACGCATGTATAGACTTCTGATGTCTGACAGAGTAGAGGGCAGATCAGCAAAGAGGAGAGAGAGACATTATTCCACACGTCGAGGAGGAACATACATAGATCAACACTGCACACCACACACAAATCAACTCCGGGTAGATTAAGGCTTCACATGTCCAAAGGAATACGTAAAACTTTTAGTAGAAACTATACTTGAATATCATTCTAATCTTAGGAGAAGAAAGACTTGTTTAGGGGCACCCGGGTGGCTCAGTCAGTTAAACGTCCGACTCTTGATTTCTGCTCAGGTCATGATCTCGAGGCTCCTGAGCTGGAGCCCCGCGTTGAGCTGCGCATTGAGCTCCGCGCTGACAGTGCGGGCCCTCCCCTGCTCATGCTCGCGTGCCCTCTCTCTCTCTCTCTCAAAATAAATAAATAAACTTTAACAAATAGTTAAAAAAAATTAAAATTAAAAAAGAAAGATTGTCTTAAATGAAACCCAAAAGGCATTCAACAGAAAAGAGAAGATCAGGGGCTCCCAGGTGGCTCAGTTGGTTAAGCCACCAACTCTTGATTTCGGCTCAGGTCGTGATCTCATGGTTTGTGAGTTCGAGGCCCACATCGGGCTCTGTGCTGACAGGGAAGAACCTGCTTGGGATTCTCCCTCTCCCTCTCTCTCTGCCCCTCCTCTGCTCTCTCTCTCTCTCTTTCAAAATAAATAAATAAATAATTAAAAAAAAAGAAAGCTATGTCAATCTATCTTTTAAAAAAAAGAACAGAGAAGATTAGTGAATATGGTTATATTGCAATTAAGAACTTATGTTCATCAAAGGTAACCTTTAAAAAGTGAAGACAAATTACTCACTGGAAGATATTTACAGTGCATATAACTAAAAAAAAGAAACCAATATGAAAATGTATAAAGCTCTCCAATCAATTCAGTAAGAAAGTCAAACACCCTATGGGCTGCAGGGAAATGGGCTGCAGATGAGACCAGGAATTTTATTTTTTTAACATTTATTTTATTTTTGAGAGACAAAGAGAGAGAGAGGGCAGGGGAGGGGCTCTGAGAGAAGATCCAAAGTGGGCTCTGTGCCCAATGCAGGGCTTGAACTCTGAACGGTGAGATCATGACCTGAGCCAAAGCCGGACGCTTAACTGACTGAGCCACCCAGGCGCCCCGGGACCAAGCATTTTAGAGAGGAGGTGTTCATCTGCCATTGAAGACAGAGATTTTCATGCTCCTTGACAACTAATGAAATGCAAATCAAAACCATAGCGAGAGAGTGAGATGACCCAAAAAATTGAGAAAACGAAGCACAGAGACTATATAGATCAACAGAATCCAAGAGGCACAGACGGGTGTACACATGGATGTGATTGCTTTGGAAAACCATTTGTCATGATAGGAACATTCACACACCCTCTGACCTAGTAATTAAATTCTTACGTAATGTTGCCAAAAAACAAAAAAAAACGAACACTCGTATGTGAATCCAATGAGAGCTGGAGCAACTCAAATGTCCAGCAAGACGAGCTTAGGCAATAGACACGATCATAAAACGAAACACCGTAAACAGGTAACTGCAGCTAACAACAGGCATGAATCTCCAGGACCTAATTTGCAGGGTTGATGAGTCCACAAAGGGAGCCGGAGAAGCGCACACAGAGGGTGCCACCCTTTGTAGGTTCAGAAATAGTTACACGAAACAGCGCGTATCTCAGTGGCATATATGGGGTAACAGTGGCAACCGGGTTCATCGTTGCTCATCTTATTATGGACAAAACGAGTACGTGCAAGCAAACAATGCCCGTTCCAGGAACTGGCCATGAACAACGCATTCTGGATAACTCCATGTAGGGCACCACGGCCCCAGTTTCATAAAAGGGCAGAAGGGACATGGTGGACAGGGGCGGAGTGAGAGACAACTGCAGCCCCCGCCGGCAAAGACATCCCAAACACGACGAGATGCAGTGGTGTTGTGGGATGTGCCCCTCGAGACGGGGCTGGACACGGAGCTCTGGGGACGTAGAGGAGGGAGGCGTGGGCGTTGGCAGGGAAGGAAATGGCAAAGCTTTCCCAGAGCAGAAGATGCTGATACGTGAAGTGGGGTGATGGAAATGGGGACAGAAGGGGATTTCTGGTGGGAGGAGCTGTATGCGCAAAGGGTCCAAGCGGTAGGGGAGACCACGAGAAGGCCAGTGTGGCTGCACCATAGCCGGACCAGGGCTGGAGTGGCCATCAAGGGCCACTGATGGCCACTGAAGGACTTCAAACATGGGACAAGGAACGTGACTTGATTCTCAAAGCACTGGGAACAAGCATCACTGAAACTCCAGAAGGGCTGGAAGGGAAGTAGGGAACAGTGGAGTAGGGAAGTCACCTCCCAGGTGACTGCTCAGGTGACCAGGCTGGGGCAGGGGCAGGGAAATGCTGAGGAGCTCCGTGTGGAGTCCCAATGGACAGGTCCAGAGCCCCCCCACTGCACGAGAAGACCCCGGCATCACTCACCCAGTCGACTGTACCCATGACAGGGTCTTCATTAGCCATGCCCTCTTGACTCCTAGACGCTTGCTTCCTGCGGGCTTTCACCCTAAAAGGAGAAAGCAGCACACTGCAGCCACGAAGGCTCCCGTGGGCAGGCTGTCTGCTCCCCGGCCAATCCGCTGAGGTATCCGGTCTGGAACCAGACAGGCCAGGAAGCACTCCATCCATTCCCCTGGGTGACCAGAGGTTTGGCCAGACTGAACTTCCATCACGAAAGATCCGTCTAACACAGAAAAACTTGTACACGCCGGGGCACCTGGGTGGCTCTGTCGGTTAAGCTCAGGTCGTGATCTCGCGGTTCGTGAGTCCGAAGCCTGCATCGGGCTCTGTGCTGACAGCTCAGAGCCCGGAGCCTGCTTCGGAGTCTGTGTCTCCCCCTCTCTCTGCTCTCCCCCTGCTCATGTTCGGTCTCTCTCTGTTTCTCAATAATAAATAAACGTTAACATTTTTGTTTAAGTCCAGAAGAGGCGAATCTAGAGAGATGGAAAACAGACTGGTGGTCCCCTAGGCCTGGGGGAGGATGGGCACAGGATGAAAATGAAGCAGTGCATTTCTTCTCTCGAGCTCCCCTACTCAGCCCTGTACTTCTGGGATGAGGGACCTCCCCGCACAGACTTACACCCAGAAGACGAGGAGACACAGACACAGGCACAGCAGAGCCATGGCTCCGGCGCCTCCCACAGCTGCAGTCGCAGCTTCTGCCAGGGACAGCGACTTCCCTGCGGAGAGAGGGAGACCGAATTGCAGGACTCAGTCTCTTGCCTTCCTAGCTCCTTGCAGAACTCACTGAAGGGCCTGCTGAGGCCCAAGATGGACCACCCTGTCCCACCAATCGCCCTCCGCCCCACGCCCACCCAGACCATCTTCTCTAGGATGCAGACTCCTTCCCCACCCCTACCCCCACCCCCACCCCCCACCCCCGGCTCTGCCCACCCTTCCCCCACAGCCCCCAGACCTGGCAGCAACACCAGGACGGCGTCGGTGCTCTGGGCCCCGTGCTCATTCCGGGCCTCGCAGCCGAGTCTGAGGTCGGAGAGCAGCGGCCCCCTGAGGCTCAGGGAGCTGTTGGCCCAGGGCCCCTCGGAGCTGGAGGTGACGGTCAAGGAGGCGTCGCTGTGGTTCCCCTCCAGCAGCCCCTCCCCCAGCCGCCAGCGCAGGGTGGGGGCCGGCCGGGCTCGGGCGGAGCAGGTGCAGCGCAGCGCCTCGCCCTCCCAGGAGCAGGAGGGGCCGAGCAGCCGCGGGGGGCCTGCAGGGCGGGGAGGGGCAGAGTCAGCGACGCCTCTGTTCCCCAGGCCCCGGGCGTCCCGCCCCCGGGGGTCCCCACACTCACAGACCACAGAGAGACGCAGGGAGACGTGCTGGGAGCCCCGAGCGTGCTGAGCTCGGCAGGTGAATTCGCCTTCGTGGCCCGACTCCACTCGGGGCAGCTCCAGGACCCCGGGCTTCCAAGGCTGGGACGGGCTTAGAGTCCGGCTCCCCTGGGCCCAGCTCAGTGTGGCTGGAGGGTTGCTGTCGGCGACACAGACCAGGAACACAGATTCCCCTTCCAGGACTGGAAGAGATGAGCCATTCCCCGGGTATTTCAGTTCTGGAGGAAGAGAGAGAAAGAGCGAGGGTGAGCACCCCCAGCCCAGGGCCGAGGCCTATTTCTCTCTCCTCTCCATTTTCCATAAGTTGGGAAGGGATCTCCACGGGTAGGTTGTGTGTGTGTGTGTGTGTGTGTGTGTGTGTGTGTGT